CTTGCTATCCTCATTCTTTAAATTCAGAGAATTCTTAAGTCTCTTGATTTCGTTTTTCACTTTAGCCAAGCGTTTTGTAGCAGACATACCAGAATCAGCAAACCGATTAGCATAAGGCAAATTCATCTTGTATCCATCGTCTTTTAGTGATACCGATTTTAAAGTATCTTTTTAATCAAATTCTGCTCACTTTTAAACGGGAGGCAAGTGAAGTCGAAATTGCTCCATCAATAATTTTATTCGAAAATTAATTTTACTTCTTCTATACTCACATTTTTACATTTGAGAGATTACATTCTTTATGGTAACAAAAGTTATCATTTTGAAGCTTGAAGTACAATGCAGCAAAGAAAATAAGTGAACAAATCAAATCACGCGTTGAGCCCATTTACAGAACTAATATTCACTATATGCCCATTTAGGAAATAAGGAGGAAATCAGTAAATTATTCTGATAAAATGCTATAGATATAGGGTCGATCAAGTCCTGTGATCATCAGACAAGCTATGGGTGATAGTATCATTCATATTTAAAGCTCTGGTGATAAAATAGAAAAAACAGTTCGTTGTTTGTTGTTCGTTTTGTATTTCATCGAAATATTATACTTACTAAAGAGATGACAGATATTATTATTATTTCTTCTCATGGATACTTGTGCATTTACTCGAGAAACGGAAATGGCTTTAAATAAGTTTTTTTAGAAAACCATGTAGAAGCATTGCATAATTATTTACTTGGCTTTTACAAATCAATTGGAGAAAAATCACTTACATGTAGTCTGATAAAAAGGCTTTTTGATTTCCCCTACATTATTATACTATTTGAGCCCTTCGCAGTAAGTTTAATTCTTTCTCTAAGTAAAGGATTTGTCGTTAAAATCGAATAACGGCTTCACTCGTCCTAGCAACTGCAATTCTTACCTTCCTTGAAAGCCAATTCGGAGTGATGTGCTTCGTAGAAGGTGGTGCTACGCATCGGTGTAATTGGTCGGTCTTCCGTATACAGTTCCTGTCGTTTGAGTGAAGCTTTAGGTTCATGTACAAAAGTGGGAAGCTCATCTCTAGACAACTGATCCTTCTGGTCATTATGCCTGCCACGACTTTCACTACTCATCAAAAATGTTGGCGAGGAAGTCTCATTGCTGTTTTTAGATTCTGGATTATTCTGAAAAATTAATAAACGTAGAAACATTGTTTGTGATTGTTGTTTTACTTTCAAGTGGTGAGCTCAATACGAAATGACTCTGTCATTCGGTAGAACCTGAATTCGTTTTATGCTTAGCTCTTGCTACAATGCTTTTTCCCTTATTTTCCATTGAACGAGCAATTTTCTTTTGTAAAACCTTCGACCAAATTGATATGCATTAAGCTCTACTTTATTTTAGAAATTTTGTCTGAAATGAAACCAACGCTACTTTATTCTTATATCAGTTCTTGTCAAGTATGCAAAATGCCTCTTTGTTGTCCTATTTTAACTAATTGGAAAACCTCATCTAGTCATATTTACAAAAACTTAATACTAAGAAAATCACTTAATTTTACAAAATATGGCATTTCTGTGTGATATATACAAAATATGGTTCAACAAATCTCAGTTTTTTCTAAGCGAACTGATAGTTCGATGAATTTCTTTAAATCTTCTTTACTAAGGGCTTGACAGGTGTGAATACAAGTCGTCTAAACAACTGTTGCAATATCAGTCAACCAATATTTTCAAAGTGATTATTCTTCTAAACCATCAGTAATTCTCTAATAAGATCAAGATCTACTTTTAACTATGACTTAATAGGCAAAATTGATTGCCGATTCTGGTTGTTCTTCTAAGCCTTTTTTGTCATTTAATAGCCAAAAGACCAAAATGGATTCACTGGGTTTGCCGGAGGATGCGGGAAGAAGGGATGCATTAGCAATAGCAATAGTATGCATGTAGCGAACCAAGAAAAGTCTGCAAATACAAATTGACAAATCACTTCGTAAATAACAACTTTCTTCTTCAGGAAGTTGGCCCCGCCATTGCCGTCATGAGTTCTTTCAGAATCGTACTTTCTGACTCTCTTTTAACCCATATTCTGACTCCCTTGGCAACTGTTACTATGCAGCTCTTCCTCTCCACTCACTCCATTACACCAGTCTTCTTGCTGTATCACTTTATAAGTACCACTACCATTTCATTCCAACCCAATCATGTGGGCCACTTCACTTTTCGGCTTGTGTGAACGTGTTTGTAAATCCCATTGTCAGGCATAAAGTAATGGACCAACCCCATTATTAAAACTACGTACTTTGATCCGAATGATATTATATCTCCCCCCATCTAGTAGACTTAGAATAGATCTCGATCTTGACATTTAAAGCCCTAATGATAATCTATTTATACTTTTGCGACCACTCATTTGCGTATTCCCCAGTTGATGCACTCTCTAACTTTCGATGCAAATTTATCGGATTGGATCCACTCACGGGAATCGTCTTCTCTTGGTTAGAGATAAAAAGTCTAAGCTCATTCCCCGATACTTCAAAGACAAGAGTTTTTTATTTTCTAATATTTATCACACACTAAGATTTAAAAAATTATGTAACCTTTATTTGATAATTTGTATTTAATGAAAAGATGAATCTGAGGTATAATATCATTGATCAAATCAGCCCTAAATTACGCATGTCAGTGAACTTAGATTCTAGCATAAGCAAGAATTTAGCAAATTTATAATTCCCACTGAAATATGCATTACTATGACACAATC